TCTTGATGTCATCCCACAACTCTTCTGGTCTTCGGTCTTTAGTGTTTAATTCATCAAATCTGTTCTTCAGATGATCTCTAAATTCAGGTGGGATAAGACACTTAAAAATGGGGTTTGTCATGCAGATTAGTCAGTCAGGTTGTAAAGTACAAAAATAGGTCAACACTCAGGTAGTTACCAAGTGATAGTTGTTATGAAGTGAATTTTCTCCCCAGAATATGTGTCAACTTAGCTAAGTAATGATTCTCAGTAATCTGGCAGCCATGTAATAATGTAATCACCCCACAATGTGATCACACGTGACTGGTTAGGGTGAGATCTAACACCCTTGCCCAGGTTACAGCCCTGAACTGACATAAGGGATGTTTCTCTGCAGTGTGCCTTCCATCACCTTTCATCTTACAAGAGATAAAAGGAGAGGGAAGGCAGCAGAGACACGACACAGAGAGACCTGACAACCACTAAGGAAGGAGAGCAGGCAGTGGAGCACATCATTTGGCCCTAAGACATCTATGCTGAGAATCTCATAGACCCACAAGAAGACTGATAACAAAACGAAAGGAGAGTGGATAAGGACCATTTTCCTACACTATGAGTCAACAAAGAGAGAAAGCCTTCCCCTAGAGTTGGTCTTCTGAATTTGGACTTCATAGCCTCCTGAACTATGAGAGAATAAATTTTGTCTTTATTAAAGTCATCCACTTGTGATAATCCTGTTAATGTAGCACTAGATATCTAAGACAATAGTATACTATACACAAATAATGAGCACACTTTATTTACAAAGTATTTACTTTTATACTTTCTTAATACTGTTGTGTTTTTTTTAAGTGCCATCGAATCGGTCCGAATTAGTGACCCTGTATAGAGTTTCTGAAGAGTGACTGGAGGGTTTAAACTGCCAACCTTGCAGTCCAGTGCTAATTCCACAATGCCACACCAGTATGCTTAATACTTGTTGTTAAGTGCCATCATGTTGGTTCCAACTTATAGTGACCCTATATAGATTTCCAAGGAGCACCAGTTGGTGAGTTTGAGCCACTGATATGATGGTTAGCAGTTGAGTGCTTATCCCACAATGCCACACCAGGACTCCTTCTTAATAGTTGTTGTTGTTAAGTGCTGTCGAGTCAATTCCAACTCATAGCGCCCCTGTACAGGGTTTCCGAGGAGTGGCTGGTGAGTTTGAACTCCTCACCTTGCAGTTCAAACTGACCTTGTAGTGCAGTGCATTAACTCACAGAACCACACCAGGACTCCTAGATATATGCAGAAAGCAAACATGACACAAACAATTCATTTTAAGAAATGAGTGAAGATGCGCTATTATGTAAGTGGCTTTCTTCAGGAACAGGCATTGGGGTGAGAAGGGAAAGAGGAAAAGCATCTGCCTTAGAACTGTTTGTTGTTAAGGGCCCACGAGTCATTTCCAACCCATCACTATGTAGAAACCCTGTGTAGAGTTTCCAAATACAGGCTGGTGGGTTTGAACCACTGACCTTGTGGTTCAAACTAATCTTGCAGTCCAGGGATACAGTCAGTTATAACTTAATTACACTGGTACATTAAAGAATCTACTTTAACCAACAGATTTCAGAAGAGCCAAAATACTAAATTACATTGTGTAATCAATTTTACTTTTTAATTTGAGAGGCTTTAAAACAGCATTTTTGCAGTTTCATCTCATTTCTTTCATCTGCTGTATTATAAGGAAAGGATTCAGATAAACTAGTTCTAAGAACCAAAGACAACTCTGGAAACAGTACTGTGCTTGAGGCAACCAGAATTCTACATACTATTGGAAAAAAGCTAGAGAATTACTTTTAGACAGCAGATTTATAAGCTTTATCCTTAAATCCTTTGTTGAACAATGAATAACAAACAGTGCAACTCATCATCTGGAAAACACATGCCTTCTTCTAAGAAGAACCCTGTAGCTAGTCAACTAGGGATTTAAAGCAACAAAGATTTAAAGTAGCGAAGTCAGTGCATCCAAACACATCATTCTCTTTCTCTTGATACACTTCCTGGAATGATAACCTATAAGGCTACTGCAGTAAAGAGATGAAAAAGTTGAGAGAATATAATCAAACATATTAAAGTTCTTCTTTCTGCAAGATGGTTAGCAAAACAACAGTGAAGCATCTTCATGGAATGACTTTCATGTCTCTCAGTGCAAATGATGATCCAAAAACAGTGAAGCTTTTCCAGTTGGGTCACAGGTGATGTCAGCAGTCAGATGCAACTGCCTGCTAGGCCAGATTACAGACACAAGACTCAAGTCCCCACTCTGTGACAGTGCCCATTCTCCAGTGCCCTCTGCCAGGAAACTCTCAGCTCTTTTGTCTACCCTCCCTCATCCACAATTCTTCATTTCTAAAATGCAGGGATTTAACTAGTTTAACAATCAACTACAGAGTTTTGTTTTTGTTATGTGACATCAAGTCGGTTCCAACTCAGCAACCCTGTAAAGGGTTTCTAAGGAGCTGCAAGTGAGCTTGAACTGCTGACCATTTGATATGCTCTGATACGTGACAGAACATGAAAAAGAATTAAGGTTTACCAATCATATTTTTCTAATGTGATTAAAGAAAAATTGGACTAAACCTATTTCATTGGCAAAGACCAAGATTTTTTTATTTCTCCATCCTCATTATTATTAATTAATTATATTCAACCAAAATGCCATTCAAGTAAAGAAATTATAAGGACATGATGATTTTGGGTGCTTTTACGAATTAGGCTGCAAACTGCAAGGTAAGCAGGTTGAAACTACCAGGCGCTCTGCGGGAGAAAGATGAGGCGTTCTGCTCCCATAAAGATTTACAGCCTCGGAAA